CGAACTCTACTACGCTATACTACGTATTAGTGCTAGTATTGAAATTATTTTGAGTGCACACACGACAAAGTGCACGTCAGAGCGGTTGAGATCAAAAGCCTTGACACCGATAAAATCTTCAAGGTTAACGGACATCAACTCAAACCGTTCCTTAAAGGCTTCCAAAAAGAAAGCGTTGAATGCATGGATCTCTTTGATCCAATCTATGAAGGATGAACGCAACCATGGCGTCGTGCCACGACGTTAACTAAGGCGCTTCTTGGGAGGCAACCCAAGCTAAGATACGTAAATTTCATTTTGTTTGTTTGAATGTTTACTTTGAGAGAAGAGGGGGAAAATCTCCAAAGAAAAGGGAAGATAAACAGGCTTAGAAAGCCTAGGGACACATCCAATCAGGCATAACCACCCGCCCGCTTGGATCCGAGCTAAAAAATGGACCAAACAAAATTCCAGGGTCATGTACCCGATCGGGTAGCCCCCCTACTCGGTCGGGTACAAGGTAAAAAGGAAGGTTGGAGATCGAGTACCCTATACTCAATCGGTAAAAAAGACGAAAAATGGTCGAATACCCGATCGGGTATACCACATACTCGATCGGGTACTCGACCCCTGGAGCCAATCTGAAATTCCGATGCCATACCCGATCGGGTATATTTATATACTCGATCGAGTATATTTCTAAAAAATGTTACGGCGAGGAAAATCCGATCGAGTATACCCCATACTCGATCGGGGGCACAACCCTGGAACCAATTTTTTTAAAAAAGGACTATACCCAATCGGGTATATTGATATACTCGATCGAGTATATTTATGGAAAAACCTACACCGAAGAAAATTCGATCGAGTACGGGGTATACTCGATCGAATCCAATCCCGAAACCAGCTCAAAAGCAGGTATACCCGATCGAGTAATCGGGGTACCCGATTGGGTACACGGGTTTTAAACCCAAATCAGACGCCGAAATCCACCATTCTTCTTCCCCAAATCCCAAAATTTCGAACCCTTTCTCCCAAATCCCCCATTTTCACACCTTCAAGCTTCGATTACTCTCTCATATCTCAACCAAATCAACCCAAACCACCACCAAAACACTCCCCTCACTCTCCTCTACAACACTATACCCATCAACCCCACCCTCTCCCCATATCTCAGAAAAACGTAACCCTACCCCCTAACCCCAAGTCCGAATTTAAGCTCCCAATTTGCTCAATAATGGAATCAAAGAGGAACCAACCGGAGAGCTCCAACACAAGGGGACCTATCCAAGGACTACCAGAGGATGTATGGGCCCACATATGCATATATGTCCCATCTTGGCAGTTTTGCATCTATGGCTTCACCACCACCGGCACGTACCTTCTTGGTATAACCCCTCCGATTGGGGTAATTTTGATGGCTCTAGTTCTGGCGGTGGGGGTTATGACGGCGGGGACACTACTATGGGAGAGGGAGGCGGTGATGATGTGCACGGGAGCGGCTTTGGAGGAGGTTATTATGGCGGCGAAGTTGGGCACTAGGGATAGTGCCATGATTCAAGTGTGGGGGAGGGAGATTCATCTCTTGGTACGTACATTTCCTTTGTTTTTACCTTGTACTAAGCATTATTTTCTTGTATTAGTTGTACACAAAAAAAAAAGAAATGAAATGCTAGTTAGGTTGAAAACTAAGATGTGAGTTATTCTCTTTAATCTTCTTCCTTGAATATTAATTCTTCATTCAAATACTATTTCTATATCAATGTTGGGGAGTGTTACTAAGATGACAATTACTTAACATCTTTACATTAGTTATAGTAATAGTTATTTCTACTTCTATGTTAATATTGGGGAGTGTTACTAAGATGACAATTAGTTAACATCTTGATATTAACTATAGTAGGATTCATCTTCTTTAATATTCTTCCTTGAGTATTAATTAATTCCTATTCATATTTCATATTAATATTTTGAACATTACTTAAAGGATCAACTAGTTTTGTTTCATATATTAATTATTACTAGAATCGATCGACGAATACGCTTGTTAATCGTTCGATCGTTTCACGGCAGTAAACTTGGGTTATTAATGCATGCGTTTCATGGTTAATAAATCAAGGGGAAATAATTATGTTGATTAAACCAATAAACCGCTTGTGTTGAGGTTATCAATCTCAATCGTTTTCATCATGATTTTATTGCTACTATCGGATTAATATACGGCGCGTGTTCTATATTAACTCGGTAGTAAGTTTTATTAATGAACGCATCTCGTTATTAATAACTACCCTCGATGAACTGGATATACTCCTCGATTGAGTATTCGAGAGGAAGATAGTTAAAGATATAACTGGGATCGACGAACATTTCATTAAGTGGATAAAAGCAGAGCCAAGTCTTCTTCTCATTAATTAAACCACACAAGTCGTTCATATTTGTGTTTAAATATTCTTAAAAGTTCTTCAACAACAAATCTAAACCCCCCCTTATTACTAGTTATAAAAAGAGAAGTATTCATTTCCCTGCGGATACGAACCTTACTACGCTATACTACGTATAAGTGTTGTATTGTATTATTATTTTGAGTGCACATCACGACAAAGTGCACGTCAACGCCCGGGGATGGTCATGGTGCATTTCGATTCTATCAGGGCCAGGCTGCGGTTCCCGCTTCATCCCTTCTACATTGAATTCTTCAGTTGCTTTCAAGTGGCCCCCGCGCAGTTCATGCCCAACTCTTATCGCTTTATCTCGTCGTTTCTTATCCGTTGCAAATCCGTTGGGGTAACTGCGTCCATGGAGTTGTTTCATTACTTCTTCCGGCTCACCCCCCAAAATTCCGATAGGTATCTGAGTATCGCCGCACATCCCAAGCGGAGGCTTTTCGAGGGGGCGCCGACGTCCATCCATGAGTGGAAGAACAAGTACTTCTTTGTCCGCTATGCGGACGCTCCACGTCATTGATAAAAACAAATAAAAAATGTTGTCCTACAGTTTCTAATAGTTCTCTAAGCTATACTCTATGAGTACGGTTTTCCCATTATGTTGCCTTTAAATATCAAAAGTGTTCTCAATTGATCCAAAGGGTAGAATCTCCCACCCTAGGAGCCCCCACACCTCGACCCGACAAGATGGTGAAGGAGTAAGTCACGGTGACTCAGTCAGCAAAATGGCAGTAGGCCATACACCCGTGCGCACCAGAGGTCCAGCCTTATTTCAGGTTCTGTAACCTCCACCCGGTCGCTGAGGGGATTCGAACCTTGGTCCATTGATCCAAATTTCCCACCACTCGACCAACTGAGCTACCTGAGCGGGTATATTCGAACTCGTGCACACCAGTTTCAAAATTGTTCCCAAATGTATAGGCTACGGCTTACATTGCCACATTTTTAAAATTGTTGCTAAAAACAACGACAATAGTTTTTTCCATTATGCAAGAGTTTTTCGGCATAGTGAGCCAACCATTTTCTACATCTATCTATTATTTTTTTAAATATAGATATGAAGTAACAAGAAAAAGTTATATTCCAAATTTATTTACTCCTATATTGGAATGTTTGACTTTTCAAAATGGAGAAAGAATGATACTCCGTATATAGTACGTAATCAAAAACTATGACTTTAATTAAAAAAGTGATAGGTGAATATATTCATGGTACTCAATTACGTGATAAAACTCAATTGTCTTAATAAATATGTATAAATTAATAGAGAATTTGATTCATTGACGAAACAATTAATTTCCAATTAGCCTAAGTGTAAAGCTGATCTTAAATTCAACACGGTTGGGCAACTTTTGTTTAACCTTTACCCAAACTATTAAAATAAAAGGGTAATTTGAGTTTGCACCTCATTTTATTGTCTAAATTGGACTTTGCACCCCGTTTTTAAAAATCTTTGTTTTTGCACTCCAACCCCATATGAAAAGACAAAAATGCTCCTGGATCAAGAATGTGTTAAAGGCCAACAAAATTTTTAATGGACGGCATTTTTGTCTTTTCATATGAGGTTAGGGTGCAAAGACAAGATTTTTAAAAGTAGGGTGCAAAGTCCATTTTAAACAATAAAATGTTATGCAAACTCAAATTACCCCTAAAATAAATCATCTCATTTTCTGAATAGCTTAGGTAGAATGAAGAACAACTGTCATAGAATGTATGGTATGGGCTCCATGCGATCTTATTTTTATTTTTAAGATACATTATTACTTTTAATTCTGACTAGAAATTGATGGACACTCCAAAAAATAGGGCTGTAGTCACGGATTTAGTCACGGACCGCAGTGTTAAAAATCCGTGACTAACTCTGTTAGTCACGGATTTTGTCCGTGACTACATCCGTGACTAATAGGGCGTGACTAAATGTAGTCACTACAATTTATCCATGACTAAATGTAGTCACGGATTAGTCACGGACCAGATCCGTGACTAATTCTTCACGGGAATAGCTGCTCCGGCACGTTAGTCACGAATCAGATCCGTGACAATGTTTTTTTAAATTTTTTTATGTTAGTCACGGACACGTCCGTGACTAGATTTATTTTTGTTTTTAAAAATAGGCCATATTAGTCACGGAATGATCCGTGGCTAAGTTTTCAAATTTTCAAATTTTCAAAAAACCACGCGGTTCCAATTTTCAAATTTCGTATTAGTCAAGGTCATGAATCCGTGACTATTTATTTTTTTAAAAAAAATATATAAATTTTAAATTTATAAAAGAATTCCGGACTAAAAAATTAGTCACGGCTCAGATCCGTGACTAAATTTTTTTTTTTTTAAAAAAGTTTTTCCATTTTTTAAAAAACAAAATTAAAAACATATTTTAGTTTTTCTTTAAAAAAAAATTGTTGTTGAAAATATTTCAAAAATTTATCAAGAAAAAGATTATATTTTAAAAATTATAGCAATTATAACATTAAATAAAAAAACAAAATTCACACACATACACAATAAAAGTTGTTACAAACTGGAATTATAAAAGTAATATAAAATGTTAAAATTAAAAATGTACTATTACATGTCCGGCCGTCGGACTCCATTATGATAAAAACTATGATTATCATCATCATCATCATCATCATCATCATCATCATCATCATCGTCGTCGTCGTCGTCGTCTTCGGGCTCCACGGGGTCTTCGGGTCGGGTTCCTCCTCGACTGCCTCCTCGGTTGCCTCCTCGGCTACCTCCTCGGCTCGCTCCACGGCTGGATCCTCCGGATGACAGAAATTGATTCAAGAAACCATACGACAGAGATCCGAATGTCGGATCCATCATAGGCATGTTACCATATCCGGAGTTAGAATGATAACCCATATTGCCCATGTGCAGAACTTGAGGAGTCTGCTCGGGGTGCAATATGTACGGCCGAGGATGAGGCTGATATCCGGCGTTTAAGATCCGTTCCATCGCTTCCAGCCGGGCTCTTGTTTCTTCCTCCTTCTTTCGTTGCTTCTCTAATGCCCGCTGCTCCTCCTCCAATTCTCGCTGCATTTGGGCGATGCATGGGTCCTCTCCCCGCCTTGATCGAGAAGATGAAGCTCCGTTGCCGCTGCGGTCGTACAAAATCCGTTGCCCTTCAGCCCCCATGCACGGAACCCGACCCTTGTACACCCCAGCTACCTCAAGGATCGCATCATCTTCCACATCAGAATCGATCTCATCCTCCTGGGTCAAGCCTAATTCCGCCCGCTTCTTCTCAACATTTGTGTTGTACTTCGTCTACATGTACAAAAATTATTGAAATGTTATTTACTTCGATTTGAAATGTTACTAAATAACAAAATTGATGTTACTTACTTCGATTTTGGCGAGGCGGGGTGGCAGATCGGCTTCCGACTCATCGCCGTGCTTTGTCCAACAATGTTTGATGACCTTGAGGATCGAGACCTTATTCTTCTTAGGCCCCGCCTACATGGTTAAAAAAACTTCAAATTCATAAATAAATGTAGAAAATGAAGGGTTGTAATGATGTAAGGTTTTTTTGAATGGGACTTACAAGAGTTTCTCTATGTTTACTCTGAGGTTTGCGACCCCCGTGCCATTGGGTTTCCAATGCCTTCTCGGACATCCGATTTTTCTTACCGGATTCACTCCTTGCCAAGAAGTTTGGATCAAGAGTCCAGTGGCGGACGAGGTTGGCCCACACCTCATCCGAACAACATCTAGGCTGCACCCCACGCGCTCGGGCACACCTAAAAGTGGGCCGAAGCCAGTTCAAAATCCTAGCATTATAGGCTCTAAGAATAGCGGGGCCTTGTGCTTCAGTCCATCGAAACCGGCCCTTTATTAAAAAACCAGATAAATTAATCATTTGTGATATATTAGGTACTACAATTACGCAGGGAACATTCATTTATTTTTACCTTGAACAGGTTCCACCATAGTTCACGGACCTTGGGGTCAACATCCGTGTAGGTTGCCCAGTTCCCAAGAAAGTGTCCACCAATTATGATTTTGATTTGGTCCAGCACTTCTTGATCGCTTCAAAAAATTAATGATATTTTTTATATCTGTTTTGGTTAGATAATTTGACATTAAATAAAATTCTTTGGCATTAGGTAAAGTTCATAGTTACTTACTTAGCAATCATGGGAGGTGTCACCCATGTCGCATTTTCATTGTTGCGCTTTGCTTCGGTTAACGGCGCATAGTTCGGGCGGGTACGCGAGGTTGACTATTCATTGCTCGTCTAAAAATATATTAATTTATATATTTAAAATGTTAGTGGAAATATAATAGAAGATCAAATTTTTTTGAAAATGTGTGTAACATATTAAACTATGTTTAAGTTTAATATGAGGGGATGTATTTTTTTTTCAATTAATTTTTTTAACTTTGAAACAATACATTTTTGTATTGATTGCTCTTAAAGGTAACATGTTAAACTTTTTGTCAAGTTTACATGAGGGGACATTATTTGTTTTATAAGTTTTTGAATCAAGATTTTTAAAAAAACTGTTTTGTATTAGTTTTGAATTAAGATTTTTACAAACTATTTAGAAACAGTTTTTACAACTAATCAACTGTTTTGAATTAAGATTTTTGTAAATACTGTTTTTATCTGTTTTTACCTAATAAAAAACAGTCCTTTAAAAATAACAAATAAAAAAACAGTTTTTACAAAAATCTGTTTTGAACAAATAAAAATATATTTTATAAAAAATCAGTTTAACAATAAAAAAAGTTTTAATACATTAAAAAATAGTTTGACATATCAAAAATTAAGTTTTTGTATTTAAATAAGTTTTTGTATTTAAATCAGTTTATAAAAAAACAGTTTTATATAAAAAACTGTTTTATTAAACACTTTTTAATAAAACACTGTTTATTAAACACTTTTTAATAAAAAACTGATTTTTATTAAACTTTTTTTATTAAAATGTTTTTAAACTGTTTATTAAACTTTTTAATAAAAAACTGTTTGTTAAACACTTTTTAATAAAAAAACTGTTTTTTTATTAAACTCTTTAATAAAAAAAGAGTCTTTATTAAACTGTTTTTTAAACTGTTTATTAAAAAAGTTGTGGGAATATATTAAACACTTTTTATTAAACAGTTTTTAAAAAACTGTTTATTAAACACTTTTTAATAAAAAATTGTTTATTACTTCACCTCATTTTTAGTAAACTTTATAAAAAAATGTTTATTAAACACTTTTTCTTAAAATCTGTTTTTTATTAAATTGTTTAATAAAGAGTAAAGGGTCAGTTTGGTCCTCGAAGTTGCAAAAAAGGGGTCAAATAAGTCCTTATATAGAAGATTTTGTCCGGACGTGCCATTTGAGGTGGCTCCCGATAGAATTTTTTGATGAAATTTTTTGAGCATCTTATTCATTAAGTCTAGTTTACTCATACCAAATTTCAAATAAAAATTCAATCGGGAAGACATTCAAATGAATTCTTGAAGATAACTGTGCCGTTAAAAGCGCAGTTACCTTCAAGAATTCATTTGAATGTCTCCCCGGTTGAATTGTTAGCTGAAATTTGGTATGAGTAAACTAGACTTAATGAATAAGATGCTCAAAAAATTTCATCAAAAAATTCCACCGGGAGCCACCTCAAATGGCACATCCGGACAGAATTTTCTATATAAGGACTTATTTGACCCCTTTTTTGCAACTTCGAGGACCAAACTGACCCTTATCCCGTTTAATAAAAAACAGTTTTTATTAAACTGTTTTTTAAACTGTTTATTAAACACTTTTTAATAAAAAACTGTTTTTTAAGATGCCGTCTCTATTTGAGACGGAAAAAACCGTTTGAAAGCTGCCTCTAATTTTAAATACCCTTCGCTTCAATGAGTAGCCAGAGTTTCCGACCAAAGTATTTCGACGGATCACAACCGTCTCTAAACCGTCTTTAACTTTATCATTTGTAATTCTTGTCGCAATTCAAACGTTTTTTTGTAGTGTCCACCGGTGGAGCTCAAACCACCAAAGTTTACCCTATTGAGTGGGGTTATATCAAGAAGGTGGTGGAGGAGGAGCGATCATATATGAGAAAGCCTCAAATTTTGTTTTACGGAGTATTAATTTTTGTGTTGCAATAGTTGAACTCTTCTAAAGTGTGCATTTTAATCAACCACACTCTTGACTATAAAAAAAGATCATGTTGGGCCCACATAAATATATGCAAGACTCACATATATTCTATTACATCATTTGTTTTGACTAGGCTATATGAAAATGTATATACTCCCTCCGTTCTTTTAAATTGCAACATTCTTTTTTTCACATTTTTCAACACTCAACTTTGACCTTTATTATATTTAATTTAGTAACTGTGAAAAATAATTAAAAATCAGATTATGAAACTTAGTAATGAGGCGAATTCAACAATATCTTTCAAAAAAAAAAATCACACACAATAATAAATAAAATGTAGTCAAAATAGAGTAGATGAATAGTGTTTAAATTCCAATGTTACAAGTTACAACTAATGCAATACAGAGGATAGTACTTTGTTTTGATATTTCAATAAAGGTAAAAACAGAAGTTGCACATGACCTGAAGGTTAAGTAAATAAAATTATATACAGTACTCTGTTTTGAATAGGCTATATGAAAAAGTATATACTTAATACTTTGTCTTATTATTCGCTTCCAGCCCTATAGCTCACGGCGTTGTATTTAGAATCCACTTGACGTTAAAGCTAAACTTTTTCTTACTAAAGTAAATAAAATTAGAGATAATTTGAATTTGCACCCCATTTTATTATACAAATTGGACTTTGCATTCCATTTTTAATTTTTTTTGTATTTGCACCCTAACACCGTATGAAAAGACAAAAAAGCCCCTCCATTATCAATTATGTTGACCTTCAACATATTCTTGATTAAGAGACATATTTAAAATGAGCATGAAGCCAATACCATATGAGCATACGTAACATTCAAAATGAGCATTGAAAAATTCAAAAACTCATTTAAATTCTCTAATGTATTCAAATATTCATTTGTGTATGCTCATTTTCTTATTTAATCATTATATTCATCTGAATATAATAAAAACTCCTAGTTATAATAAATACATCTTGTTGATTCGTTATTAACGATTAAATAAACTATCATTATATACAACAGTGAGAACTATAAAATGTTATATTATAAATAATTTATAGTCTTTTGTTATTGAATTACAAATATAATCGTGTTGTTTTTATAATGTTTACTCATTCATATCGGTTTCACACTATATTCATTTTAGTATAACACAAAACTCCATGTTAATAATAACACACAATATTTATTAAACTAATAATATTCATCTTAAAATTAAAAATACAAAAACAAAACACTAATATCTAAAATATTCTATAATGCACGAAATAAAAAACTAAAGTTAGAAGGTTGATTGGAAAAAGGAATAGACAAACTCAAACATTACATAATATTTTAAATAATACATTTTCCTAATAATCAAATTAAATTAAATTAAAACATTGTTAATTAAATACGGAGTAAAAAATAAAGAAAAAGAAAGGACATAATAAGTTAAAGCAACGAAAAAAAAGAAAAGACAAAACACAAAAGAAGAAAATACTCCGTATGTAAAACAACCGGAAAAGCAACGAAAAAGAGGAAAAAGACAAATTAAAAAAAAAAGGAAAAAGACAAACCTAATGAGCAGCAAAGAATCACGGCGTCGGAAAATGAAAAACATCTTAAAATAGGACCATAAAAAACTTTTCCTGGTTTCATACACGACTTCAAACCTTCCACGAGTTATTTCCAAATATGCGTTGCACGGGATGTCAAAGTAAAAGGTCATTTGTAACATCATTTAATGTATTCAAATATTGCCAAATTCAAAATAGTCTAATACAACGTACCATTAATATATGAACTGGAAGTAAGTGTTATTATTTAAATACAAATTATGGACATTACCTAAGCCAAAATTTCGGTGATAGTCTATAAAATAGAACTTGTGTCCAATCTTTAAAAAGATTACTGCTATACGATAAAAAGAGAAATTGTATATATGCAATTTGTATACCACACACTTTTAACTGACTATAAAATAGAACTGCGCCCAATCTTTACACGTTAAATCTTGCAACCAAGTTTTCTCAATTCAAGTTTCAGGTAAACATTCTTCAAACGAACCTTGTATGTCACCAAAGTTAAGGCTAAGAACTAAGGGTTTTAGAGAGAAGTGTGTGTGTCTATATATATAATATGTGAGCTGTAAGAGAAGTACTTGTGGACAAAGATAGGATCAATAAGTAATACCTGAGAAGGATTTGGAAAGTTGTTGTGCAAATGAAATAGACGCTATTTCGGCTTCCATCGTCGAAGGAAAAAGATGAGGATTAGCCGAAGAGAACCGGAAACTTTGCTGATATTTCTGAGAGGAATAGAAGAGTCAGTGATAGTTGGTGCAAAGTGAACTCTAGAAATGGAATGTAGCAGCGGAAAATAATTACGGAGTATAAACAAATTTCCAAAAATACCCCAATATTAGGCGGGATACTTTAGTGAGTTAAACATAGATATATAGATATATAACCAAACTAAAATGTATAAACATGTATTTTTACTGCTTAAACTGGACTTTTGATTCTCATGCTTTATTTGCATTAACTACGAAAGATGTTTTTTCACTTCTTGCAATTAAACTATCTAGAAATAAAACCAATGCTAATTTGTAGGCAGGCATACAAACTTTTGATATGACCAATTCCTTTGTTTGAAACAATTGCAGTAGGCATTAGTGTATTACACTAAAACTACATTTTTACTACTTAGCGTTTTCAAATCATAGCCCAAAGAGAAAGAAAGTCATAGAACTTTTGACATCAAAGCCACCTGGTGGGTTAATGGGGGTTCACATTTAGGTTGAATAACAAAAGGCTGTTCTTTACTCTATCATATCTTAAAAAAAGTCCACTATGAAATGAAATAAGGTGGCTTGGTATGGGAATTGAGATGATGTAACTATAACACAAATGAATTAGGATGTTTTTACTTAGATTGAAATTTTCCGGTCTGGTCTAAACTGGTCTAATAAATGACTTGTCCCTGTGTATTTTATAATTATCCAAGTCTGGTATGAGATTGAAAACAGTCCAAGTAAAAACATCCTTAGATTCCAAACTCAGTTGGATTATATGTTTCCAGTTCATCAGTGATCGCCATTACTATGGTCTTATCTCATAACCCAAAAAGAGAATAAAAAAGAAAAAGAAAAAGAAGCAATCCGAGTAACCTTAAAGCATTAAGCCAATATATTCTTTACATAAAAAGTACATAGTACATGTTTATTAAAAGATTAGTTGAATAGCAGAGAAACGGCTCCAAATACTTCTCAATATTTATAAGAGAAAGGGCAAGTTATGTTAAGAACGAAAGAGTAACAAAGAAGAATAGCAGAGAAACGTCTCCAAGTACTCTCAAGTTTCTCTTCTGTCATGTTGAACCCATGAGTTCCAAACTGCAAAGAAGCAAAACACATCTTTTCCATAATTTTGTTAGGTGGACTTTGCGCTCATAGGAAGAATCTACTGCACAAATGAGTATGAATAAAAACAAAAAATAGGTTTTAGTAGAAGGCAATGATTACCGAAGAATCAATCCAATCAGTTTAAACCTAATTCAAAATTTAGATAAAACCAACCTTACCATAAAAAGATCAAATAAGGGATCAATTTTTTATTTACTTAAGTAATTGTGGAACTTAAACTATTGGCAAGCACCAAGCTAAACTAAATACTCCGTAATTATCACTATTTAGTCAAAATTCAAACCACCCAAAATCTAAATAATACAAAATTAAATCATTAAAACAATAAAAATAATTACCTGTAATTCTTACTTTCGTTGATGAGAGCATGAGATGCTTCAGATTTCAATTCTTATGCTGCAGACATGGCCGAAATTTCAATCCGTTCCTCACTCCTAGACTCCTTGCCAGGTTGCCCTTATGCTGCCCATCGGTGTGTGAATTTCTAGAGCAAAATCGTGTGTGAAATTCTTTAGAAAAGTGAAGGAGATCTCAAAAGAATGTAGATGCCGTGGAAAGTAGAAACCAGATGAGTTAATGAAGGACTCCGCGAGTTGAAATGGAGAGCTGCCCTAATTTCCAGACGCTAAAGAAAATGCGAGTCTAATTCCGAAGAGTAGAGAGATTAGCAGTATTTACGTAAATGTCCCTAGTCATGAGCGGGAAACGCACTTAAGCGGATTAATATATATATATATAGATTTCATACGGAGTACTACTACCTCCTTCTTAAATGTAACTATCATATTTTTATTAATTATAGCCATGTTTTGGCAGTATTTTCTAAACATGGCCGTTATTACTCCTATTTAGGAATAAAAATATGACAGACTATTTTTAGAATTCTCAAACACTTTTACTCATATTTCGGGAATTGTCCCAAAGTAGAAACAAAGTAAACTAGGAAGTTAACTTTGGCAGCTTAAATATGATAGATGGAAGTTAATTTGGGAAAGGAAAGCATATTGTTGAAAAGTTATATTGGGAATCCGCACTAGTAGCTCAACGATGGTTGAGTGAGGTTGTTTGATTGAGGACTCATGTTCAATTTCCGGCAGCGGCAATGTGGGAGTTTCATTTAATGTGGTGGCTCCTTGTACGCATCAGATCCTTAACCACCTCACTCAAGAACCGTTTTAAATCGTATCGTGACTTACCCCCACCATGGTCGGATGCGGGGACGCTTGGGGTGCGCGATTTCACCTTTTGGATTGAAAAGTTATACTTCCTCCGTTCTCTTTTAATTGTAACAGTCAATATTTCATGTTTGTCAACATACACATTTGACCATTAATATCTTTCATTCCCTATTAGTAAAAATTTAAAAAATTCATATTTTGAAAATTTAGAATGAGAAGAACTTAACAATATGTTTTAAAAATTTAATTTATAATACATTAATAAATAAAATATAGTCAAAGTACTTCCTCCGTATCACATATATCTTCCCACTTCCAAAGTGGGTGAGATTAAGAATAGTGAAATGAGGTATGAATTATTGAGGGTATGATGGGAAGATAATGAAATAATGTGATGGAATGAAGGATAAATCCAAAAAAGTAGGTGTAATAGTGTATTATTTTTTAAATTATTGAGGGTATGATGGTAAGATTTAGAAATGAGATGATATAAATGTTACGTCCAAAAAAAGTAAGTGGGAAGATATGAATGTTACGGAGGGAGTAGAATATATGAATAATGCAAAAAGTCCAATATTGCAATTAAAAGAGAACGGAGGTAGTACGAGGTAACGGAAAAAAATAGGAGCTTGTTTGCTTTTATCAAGACTGCTTTGACTATAAAAAACATTTGGTGGGCGACCAGTTGGTATGTTGCTGTCAATTCCATGCCCGCCACACTATATAATATGGTCGAGATGAGATGAGACAAAAATCTATATTTGCTCCTACCCTCCATCTTAGCGTAGCTTATTATAATTAGCTTTCATACATATACCAAGTATATAGATTCGATCTCCATTCTCCATCATCTATCTATCTATCACCATTGGGATCGGAGGTCGATCGATCCGTACTTATTAGCTTCCAAATAATTATTGAAAAATGGCGAGACCAATTGGATTTTGCAACTTTTTTTATGTTCCGATGTTTATACTATCCTCGGCCGTCGGCAGCCTCGTGGCAGCAGCCGCCGGTTTGATAGGCAAAACTTGTTCCAACAACCTTATAAACCTCAGAGGCTATTTTATCGGATGCGCAGTTGCAATTTTTGTACTTGGCTGCCTACCCTACTTCTTAATAACAAAAACAAGCTGTTGTGGTATGGACAAAGGGAGAGGTGCAGATAAAATCGCCCTCCGCCTGCTGTTGGGGCTGCTGTTTCTGGCCATGATTGCTGTCCTCATAATCCTGGCGGTCAAGCTGCCCCGGAAACCTGGGGCAGCTGAATCCCCGACCAGGATAGCGCCGCCGCTCACAAAGAATAGTCTGGATCAGTTCCCCACCTGGCTTCGTAACACGGTACTTAGCAAGTGGGACGATTCCGTCCCAAATTGTCTCGCTCGTTCCGTTCCCTGCAGTGCCTTGGATACCCCCTATTACTCCTCCTTCCAAATACTGTCAACTGCGCCCCTCACAACATTACAGGTATTGTGATTTCCACCGTCAAAATTTCACCACCATATATATATATATATATATATATATATATATATATATATATATATATGGAGCGGTTCCGGTAAGAACAAATCTTAGGAGAAAAATGAGAACGAATCTGGGCTGTTGGATTGTATTATGTGGAACCAAATTGTGCATTTGGTGAAACTGAAATGTGCATTAAATGATATTGAAATGTGCAAGATAAAAATTTAAACTCAAGTGTGCATTAGATGAAACTGATATGTGCGAAAAAAAAGTACAAAAATAACATCACATCGTACTTTTTATTCTGCACATTTCAGCTTCACCTAGTGCACATTTCAATTTCACGTATTGCACAATTCAACTGCACATAATGCCACTCTATCATACCCTTTGTGATGCACATTTCAATTTCACCTAATGCACATTACAGTTTCATCTAATGCATACTGAATTTCACTTGAGGCAAATCTCACGGTCCAGATTCGTTCTCATTTTTCTCATAAGATCGTGTTCTTATTTGAACCAAAACCTATATATATATATATATATATATATATATATATATATATATATATATATATATATATATATATATATATATATATATATATATATATATATACTCCCTCCGTCCCAATATAAAAGACACTTTTTTCGGATCGTCCCAATATAAAAGACATATTTCCCTTTTTCGCAAACAAAACAGCGCAAAACAGTGCCAAACAGTGTCTAAACAGTGCCAAACAGTGTTAATCCTAAAAATGTGTGGAAACGCAAATGTGCCTTTTATGAGGCCGTTTGACAACATTGTTTTTCAGCTTATCAGGCTTATCGGCCAACTTTTTCACCAAACACGTAACTTTTGCTTTCACGCGCTGAATTGTGTAATAAGCAGAAAAAGTAAGGTTGGAGTTACTTTTCTGGCTGTATTGGCTGAAGTTACTATAGATGATCATTTTAGCTATTTTTACATATAATTTTTTCTTTATTTTATTAATAAAATATATTTTAAAAATATTTTTTTCTTAAATCAGCAGAATCAGCCAATGCAGCCACTTCAGCTAAAACTTCATAAATTTCAGCAGAATCAGCCAAAACAGCCGATTTTGGTGCTACCAAACGGGCTCTATATTGGCACAGAGGGAGTATAAAAGTTCACCTCACAACTTCCTCACATGTACAGCCGTCCAGCCCCCACCGTTTGAGTTGTTCCCGGTAGATTTTTATGAT